CCTCACAGTGGCCGGACTGCAGCATCTGTTCATACTGATTTGGAAATGCTGCCCTATTTCTGCCTCCTCCTCTTCTTTGTGTGTGTGTATATGTATATATGCATATAAATGTATGTATGTTTATGTATATATGTGTGTGTATATATATAAAAAAAATATTTTTTTTTATGGGTAAGAATTTTGCTATATAGCCAAGGCTGAGCAGGAAGTTGCTTAGTGGCACAGTAGTCAGCCGTTTTAGGATCCATTTGCCCCACACATGCTCCGTAAAGTGTCTAAAGGGTTTGGACTTACCACCCATCGGGCCACCTCCTGTTTTCCCACTTGCTTCATGAGCGAGTAAAGCCTTACATCCGCTACAGCAGACAGAAGAGCCTGGGCCAGTCTGGGAATCCAGATCTTCAGTAGTTAAAAGGAAAACGTTGGTTAAGCACACCATCCCGGTTCATACTGAAGTGCCATGAAAATAAACACCTAACCATCAACAGTGTCCATCTCCATATTCACTCTGCTTTCGGTGTGTGCTTAGCTGGCTGGTTCTTGCAACTCCACCCCATGGCTTTTGGAATGGCTTTGCTATGTAGCTCAGCTGGCTTTGTCTTTGCTTTTCCTGCCCCAGCACCCTCCAAATACTGGGAATTACAAGTGCAAAGCACCATACCCCACTTGCCCACTTTTATGTTTATATCTTACAGCACTAATTCTCTTTTGTAATTGTTGGTATTGAACCTAGGGCACATGCATGTTAGGCAAGTGTTCTACCTCTGAGCTCCTCTTGAACAGCTTGCAAACCATTTTATTTTGTTAAGATTCCATTTTAGAAGCGTACAGTAGGTTTTGTTTTTAAGTCAAGCATTTACAGTAGGACGTGCTGGGTATCATAGCAAGTGTTTTACGTGTATTAGCTCATTCCTTACAACAATCTGCTGAAGCAGGAACTGTTTCATACATGAGGAGACCATGGCACAGAGAGGTTAGGTGATGGGCCTAAGGTGCTAGAGCTAGTTAGCCCTGATGCCTGGATTCAGACCAAGGTAGGCTTGATACCACGGTCTGTGCTCGTAACAATAAAAGTTTTAAATCCAGGGCTGGAGGGATGACTCGTGGTTAGGAGTCCTCGCTGCTCTTTCAGAGGACCCGGGGCTCAGTTCCTAGCACCCAGGTCAGGCAGCTCACAGCTCCAAGGCATCTGAACCCTTCTTCTGGTCCCCAGCACCAACGTGTGTGTGTGCCAGGTACACATGAATAGATGAATAGACCTGAACTCTGGTCTTCACGGCTGTGTAGCAAGGGCTCCTCACCTTGAGCTAGCTCCCCAGCCACTCCCTTTTATTTATGTATCTTTTAATTTATATCTTTATTTTATTCTTAAATACATTGAAGAGTTCTACATCACAGTGTCTTTGGTACAGTGGGCTTCCCAGATAAGGCTAGACTTTAGCAACAATAGCTTTTGGAAACACGTTTTGTGAAATTAAGAAAGTCATTCATTTATTACCAGTTAACTTTTGAAAAAGAAAAATATATGGATTTAACAACAATTTTGGTCATTTTAATTTAAACTTACCAGCAGTTGAACACTGTCTTTCCCCAAAAGATGCAGAATCTTGTAAATGCTGGCAAAGATGAGGGGGTAAGTGTAACCCCTCAGTCTCTCTGTCCATTCCCAGGTCAGATAGCCATAATTACTAATATCAAGGACCAAATGTCAAACTGTATTGAAACAAATTAATTTATACTTCTACATATAAAACAATATTTTATTCTTTGACAATGTTTTTAAACAGTTTTTTGAGCCAGGCAGTGGTAGGAATTCAATCTCCAGCCTTGGATATGCTTAGGCAGGTAATGTACCACTAGACTGCACCCTAATCCTTAAAACACAGGGTTTTATATTGAATATTGAATATTTGGTCAACTAAAATCTTAATTTCCTCAAGTTAGAAATGTGTTTCTTGAGCCTGGCATGGTGACGCATGCCTTTAATCCCAGCACTCGGAAGGCAGAGGCAGGCGGATCTCTGTGAGTTCAAGGCCAGCCTGGTCTACAGAATGAGTTCCAGGACAGTCAGGGCTGTTACACAGAGAAACCCTGTCTCAAAAAAACAAATTAAAAAAAAAAAAAGAGACTATGATAAAGGATATCTGAAAACCATGTGGTGTGCAACTTCAAGAGACTGCCAGTATTCATCAGGAACAAAACTTGTCTGGACTAGGAAGCAGTTAAACATTCGCAGAGCAATGGTAAACAAGACCAGGTAAATGTTTTCTCCCAGAAGATCTGAAAAGCAAATCAAAGCAGTAATTGGTCTTAAAGTCAAGCAGCTCCTCCTTCAGATGCACCCCTGTAGTGGCCCTGGCCCTGGCTCTACTAAGGCCCTCTACATCACTCCACAAACTTCATCTGGGTAAGTGATGCACTGGACCGGCTGCAGAGTTAGCTAAGGGTGGGACTCCTGCCTAGCCTACTTGAGGTCCTGAGTGTGTTCCCTAGCAATGTGTGGAGAACACCTCCCACCA